GAAGGGTAGGTAAGAGCAACAGCGGGTGGGGCAGAAACGCCAGAAAACCCCGACCGGTTTACCACCCGGAAGGCCCGGCCCCTCTTCGCTAACGGACGCGAGGGAGAGAACAGCCCTCGACCCCGTCTCGGGAGGGCGACCCCCGGTACCTTAGCTTCTCGATGGTGGTTTTCTTGTCTGTAAACAGCAGTTGGATCAGCGTTCTCCTTTTGAGATAAACCGCGAACCCGGCCATGAGGAGACACAGGATGGCTGCCAGGATGCCTATGGTTAAACCTTGGTTCTCTGAAACAAAACAGTTTGACTCAGGGAGGGGTCACGAGGTCAGGGAGGCATCGGCTGCGACGTCTACGCAATTCGGACCTTGGGGGGGAAAGGAAGGAGGAAAGGACAGCCCTGAGCGATGCTCAGAGGTCATGATATGCAGAGGTCACTGATGGTCAGAGGTCACTGATGGTCAGAGGTCACGGATGGTCAGAGGTCACTGAGGCTCAGAGGTCATTGAGGCTCAGGGGTCACTGATGGTCAGAGGTCACTGATGCTCGAGGTCACTGATGCTCAGAGGTCATTGATGGTCAGAGGTCACTGATGCTCGAGGTCACTGATGCTCAGAGGTCGTTGATGCTCAGGGGTCACTGATGGTCAGGGGTCACTGATGCTCAGGGGTCACTGATGGTCAGAGGTCACTGATGCTCAGAGGTCACGGATGGTCAGAGGTCACTGATGCTCAGGGATCACTGAGGCTCAGGGGTCATTGAGGCTCAGAGGTCACTGATGGTCAGAGGTCACTGATGCTCGAGGTCACTGATGCTCAGAGGTCATTGATGCTCAGAGGTCATTGATGCTCAGAGGTCACTGATGCTCAGGGGTCACTGATGCTCAGGGGTCACTGAGGCTCAGAGGTCATGTGTGAGGTTCAGTCTGTGCTGCCATCACTCACTTCTGACCACTCTCGAACTGGCAAATGAGAACATAGTCTGGGAGGTGGGACCACAGCCCCGGACACGTGGGCCCCCCAAGCAGGACAACCCCAGGGAAGTGGTGGCCACAGGGAGCCATCGCCGAAGACCCCTCAGAATTCCTGGGGTCCTGAACTGAACCCCCTGCAGCCCCCCCCCCCAGGCTCCTCCCTCCTCTCATTTGTCAGCGTTGGAGTCTGGCCTGGTTTTTATTGTATTTCTTTAGACCAGACTCCTTATTTCTGGACATTGTCAAATTAGAGATGAAAATGAAAAAGAGCTCAGAGCTCAATGACATGCCTGAGGCTCGTTACGTCGGGGACGCAAGGCCCAGCGCTGGGGGCAGCCCCTTTCTCTGGGAGGGTGCGGTTTGTTTTCCTTACGGAACAGCCCTTCCCTGTGATCGGACCCGTTTTGTCTAGTACAGTGACACTCAGACCCCTCCAGGTGTGGAGGGGAAGGGGAGGGGCCACCAGGCAGGTGTGGTGCCAGGGCAGTGAAGGGCGGTCTGGGGCGGGCTCTCAGTGCCGGGGTTGGAGCCCCTGAGCTGCGTTACAACGGAGCTGAACCCCGGGGAGCGCGATCACAGCCATCGCTCTGCTCCCTCCGGCGATGATCCGATGAACCCGGTGGGCTTCACAAAGTAGGTGCACGGCCAGCCGTCCTTTCCGGCCGCGGCTGCTGCTGCTGGAGGTGACTGTCACCCAGGCTGCCTCCGGCCGGGGGCGCGTTGAGCTGGCTGCCGACCAGGGGCAGCGGCTCCCACTGGGGGCGAAGCCCCCGCACCCCCTGCCTCTGGGCTTCACCTCCGGCCCACGCGTCCCGTCAGGGGCCTGTCTTAGCCTCAGTCGGACGATCCGCACACGAGGGTCTGATTCATTTGTTTGCGTTGCTGGGAAGCCAGTGTTTCTGGTTCCCCGCCAGACGTCCTCCTTTGCAGACGTGAGCCGGCGATCGGGGCTCTGGCCCCAGTTCTGCTGTCTCTTCGCAAAGCTAATGAACCAGGGAGCCCCAGGAGCCCTGAGTCACCATTTCCAGCTCCTCAAAACCCACCCCAAGCCTTAAACCGATCAGCTTATCCAGTCTATCGTTTACTCGGCCCCCAAACTGCCCCTGG